GATTTACTCAGCCTTGGTGAGGCCACAGCTGGAGTACTGCATCCAATTCTGGGCTCCACACTTTAGAAAAGTTGTGGAGAAGCTTGAGAGAGTCCAGAGGAGAGCCACGTGCATGATTAGAGGTCAAGAGAGCAGGCCTTATGAGGAGAGGCAGAGAGGCATGGGACTCTTCAGCCTGGAGAAGCGCAGGCTCAAGGGTGACTTGGTGGCAGCCTATAAGTACATAAGGGGTGTGCATCAGGATCTGGGGGAATGTCTGTTCACCAGAGAGCCCCAAGGGATGACAAGGTCAAATGGTCACAAACTCCTCTGCGACTGTTTCAGGCTGGACATAAGGAAGAACTTCTTTACTGTCCAAGCCCCCAAGGTTTGGAATAGACTGCCACCGGAGGTGGTTCAAGCACCCACTTTGAATGGCTTCAAGACACTTTTGGATGTTTATCTTGCTGGGATCCTATGATCCCTGCTGACTTCCTGCCCCTGGGCAGGGCGCTGGACTCAATGATCCTCTGGGGTCCCTTCCAGCCTGAATGTCTATGAAACCTATGAAAAACTATGCACCATTTGCTTTTGGCTTCATTAAAAGAACAGTAAGAAGTCAGAGTGAATTTTTATGCCACTGAATAGTGAGCCTGCAAGAACACTAATCAAGTTCTCCTGGAATTATTTTGAAATGCCTGTCTTTTCATAGCCAATCTTAATGTCTATCCTCTGTGTATCTTGGCCCCAAAGCAGTAGTCTAGAGCACCAGCTTTTGCACTTAGTGATTAATTGCAAGCTAAGATTCTGATACAGAATTATAACGGCTGCAAAGAAAAGTTTGAAAATATGCCCCAGGTGTAAATTATGCAGTGGTATCTGTAGAGCATATACAGCCTAAAAATAACAATGCTTAGAGGGGCAAACTGTACTATGCATCTTAATTAGATATTCACTACTCTGATGTCCATCAAAACCACTCCAGCAGAGGACTCTGTGCAAAAGACCACCTTGCTCAGCCAAGCAAGTATTCCTTGACTGCTGTGGTAAGTACTGGGCAAAGGAACACCTGCTACAGCCCTACTTCTTGTGCTGCAAAGGGTATCCCTGTCAAACATGAGGAGAAAGAGGAGAAAGGAACATTATGTCAGTGCCTGTTTCTCTCCCCCTTGCACCTGCCTCTGCCAGGGGAACAGGTTCTTGTGGGCAAAAGGCCTTATCTCGTCATATTTAAAGCTCTTGCTTCAATTAGTCGATAAAACAGAAGAGTTATTACTACCCAGAAGTTATAATGCTGTTATTTCTCCTTCTTTGTAGCTACATATCGTACATTATAACTCCGAAAAATATCATGATGTAACAGCAGCAATGGATAAATCAGATGGATTCGCAGTTTTGGCTATCTTCATTGAGGTAAAAGGCATGCCTTGTTCTGGGACAGAGATTTAAAAACTCGATTGGGAGCCCCATCAGTGCTGGTGTGTCTGGATCAGTGGTGTCCCTTTGCCATTGCACCCACCAACAAAATACAGGGCTAGACAGTGCCCTCACTCACATCCCTGCAAACTCAGTACATGCTGAAAAATAAGTGTTGAATATTCTCTCACATTTTAAAAATTAGCTGCAGGCATGCTCAACCCTTTGAAATTTGTCTTCTACAAACTAAAGAGCAGACAAGCCTCTTAAGTTATAGTACAAAATCGAATTCAGACTTGCACATTTGGATATTCTCAAATAGCACTGAAGGCGGTCAGTACATATGGCATGGAACACTTCTCAACATAACAAGGGGACAAGGGTGGGCAGAATCTTGCTACAAATAATTACCTGAGATTTGTACCTGACCACACAAGTGGCATCTAGCACTTCAGGGGTACTGTGCATCAGTGATTCTTATAATGACACAAAATTACAGACAAAAAATGTAGATTTTTCAACCTGACAGAGGGACCAGCTTCCAAATCCCATTACTGAGGTGTGACAATGAGCAATTAAATGAACCAGTGTTCTGATGGAATCTCTTGAAACTATGCCCTAGGTATGTATAGAATTACTTTGTGAGACGAAACAGAAAATTAAACTCGGAATTGGGCCAATGAACTGTACAGTAAAACTGACGGGATTTTTTCCTGCAAAAAATTAACACAGTCAAAAAATCTACACCTTAAAACTTTAAAAACTGCCATCAAAAACTACAAAATGGTTAAGAAGCACAGATACCTTCTGCAAAACTTTTCCTTTCATTCAAAATCCAATTTTCTATTAAAAATTCTATACAAAATTTGACCAGGAGTATTTTACAGAAGTCTATTTTTTTCAAGAAAAGCTTTCATGGACTAGAAAATAAAAGGGATGTTTTTAAGAATACCGTTTTCCTGCTTAACCTTCTCCCTCTCTGTTAAAGTTTCAAAGCAAAAAAGGGTTCCCTAAGTTCTCCTCCAGAGTTGGTAATGTAAATCAGAAAAGAAAAACAATATTATATATTGGTCATATATAAATCACATACAAGCAAAAAGGACTAATAAATACAGTTCACAATTCTAAGATGCTGAGTGTGGAATAATCAAATTGTTGATGATCAGATCACAAACAAAAAATGTTTGAGGAAACACCTACCTGCTTGGGGACATTTTACAAAGAAGAACAGAGCTAAATTCATGATGTTCACTCAGCTCTGGTTCAAGGGAACAGGCAAACACTCTAGAGATGGTCCAGAAATTTCTAATTATACTGCATATTACTTCATCTGATTTCTGAGCAGGTCTAGGAATTAGACAACAGATGTGCTAAATTTCAGTGCATTTGGGTTACTATACAAAGTGAAATCAAAACAGCTGTGCACAGTATGATAGTACAGCACATCATTTTAAGGGTAAGAAAGAGTCTAGGCTTCTGTTTTCTGTACAAATTACTAATTGCATGATGCTGCTTAAATAAATAAATAAATAAATAAAATCAACGAGCACATCTCTATATTTAACAATATTCTCTTTTTTGTCTGATGAAAATAAGCCACATAGTAGCTTTCACAGTTAAACGAAATACACATATTTAATGTGTCTGGTTGCCAGATGAGTTGCTGAGTACTAGCTCTCAAGAACACATAAAACAGGCATTGATCAGCTCTAGCAGCTGTCGGGAGCTTCACTGCTATCCAAGCCAGCCATGTTACAGTTAGTTTAGGTATAGCTACATGTACTACAGTCACACTCCCAACATAGACATACCTACAGAGAATGCGGTTTAGATGGGGACATTGAGCTACACCTCTTTGCTCCTGTATGTGAGCATTCACATAGTTTTATGAACTTCAACTTACGCACACTCATTTCACTTCCTGTATTTACTTGTGTATCACACACACCCTTTCCCCAAAAATCAGGCTTCCAAAACTGGGGTGCCTGTTCTAAGTAAGGAAGCTGATTTCCGCATCAGAAGAGGTATGCAGTTGCTGTAATCGCTGCTGGGCTGTGCTGCTTTCCCTTTCCTTCCCTTCTTAGGCTGCATGGAGGAGAGGCTGCTGGTCACTCACTATCCTTGCAAATTATGCCACTCAAGCTGTAACCCATCACAGCCACTGCCAAACTGGCTAAACAGTTAAGCTAAGGACAAAGCAGCCAAGAGCTGCTGCAAATTCAGCAGCAACTGTGACAGGGTTAAAGCCATACTGAAGAGTTTGCAAGGAGAGAGCGAGTGATGCTGAAGAATAAGAACAAGGTGCCTGAAGCACGTGAGAAAATACAGTATTTATTTTATCCGAGTAGCTATCCTTGGTGTTCTGTGCAGAAATGGCCCACATAAGGCAGAAGACACAGAATAAGAAAATGTAATATCTTCAAAAAAGCTATTTGCACTAGGGAACCAATCCTGTAGTCTCTTTGCAGACAAATGACAATTTAATATTGGGTAATATGAAAAGGCAGATCCAATACGTCTAGTTTGTTGTTCTATTGTGAGAGTATTAACATGAAAAGACAAAACAAAACAATTCCAAAAGACAGTTAATTTCTCATGTAAAGGGCTATATCAGTGTGCGTTATCAAATAAGTATGTGTCTTTTGGGAAAGTTTCATCAAAAGATAAAGTTGTTAATCAAATGTTGACATCAGCTGCTACAGAATTTATACACACAGTACTCCAAGTACTTGAACATCTCCTGTCTCTGTTACAGATAGGTCCATTCAATCCATCATATGAAAAGATCTTCAGTCATTTCCAGAACGTGAAATACAAAGGTGAGTGGCTACAGTGTCCAAAGGATCAACAGTGGCTGAAGGTAACAAAAACAACAACAAAAATATCAACCTTGGTTGAAATGGACATCCTTAAATGTTAGGAAACAATGAACAAGTCCAAAGCAAGCTTCCATGAAACTGTCTCAGAAGAATGCCAAACACAGTGCTCTCCTCTTCAGCGGACTCTAAATCTAGCTTGACAGACACTTACATACATTAGCATCATATGGATCATTACGAGGCCCTATTTCTTGCATGTACTATTACTTTCGTTAACAGAGCCTTAGTTAAATATTCAGATGGCTGACTGCATGCAAATACTAAATATTGGTGTGTTCAATCCCAATAAGTGGTCAGATTTCACAATATTTTCATCCACATATCTTTTTAAAAACTAGTGTTGGAGCATATAATAAAGTGCAAGACAATGTGGAAGAGATGAGTAACATCAGGTTAAGAAGAAACTCTTCATTCTACCAGTAACAACACTCAAACCATAATGAGCAGCAGAAAACATTAACAATTTAGTCCTCTAAAACCCTAATGTTGGGTGACTGCCTGCACTACTTATAAGGAAATGTGTTGGATAATTCCATGCTTAATTGCATGAAAAGAATGCACTCTAAAGGGAAAAGCAAGTTCTCTCACTAATTAGAATTCTGGCTTAGTATTTAACATGTAACGCCAGATTTGGAAGATGTTTAATTAACTACATTTCTAGATTAAATTGAGGCTAACATGTATTAGAGTACATCAGATATATTTGAAATTAAAAAACTTCCTGAAAAATAAATTTGCCTCACAGGGCTTCACCTATGCTGAGAGTCAACAAGGCAGTGCAGCCCAGTAGCATGTTAGGGTGATGCAGTTAGTGCTGAGATGTATATATTAAAAATACAGTATTTACAAGGATGCTCTCTTTCAGGCCAGAAGGCTCAAGTCCCAGGTTTCAACATCCAAGAACTGCTTCCCAAACAACTGAATGAGTATTATCGCTATGAAGGATCCCTGACCACTCCTCCTTGTTACCCTAGTGTTCTTTGGACCGTTTTCCGACATCCTGTATACATTTCAGAAGAACAGGTAAATTTAAACCAAACAGTATTTTATTTAGCCTGGCAGTGTAATCTAGAGTCTAGAGCTAAATTAAATGCTACCAAATAGATTTCATGTTTGAGGTTTACTAATGTACGTAAATAAGAAATTTTCTATTATAATACTAAAAGATACAATTATTCAACTTAATCCTCTGAATGCAAACAAGATCACAGCCTAAGTAATTTTCTTATTTGTTTATAGTTGATGTGCAAGGGTCAAGGGACTGCAAATGCAAATACTGTTGTTGCGGTATTATCTAGAATAAACATGTTAAATGACAGTTTTTCAGTCTCATTTTAATAGGATCTCTGCTTTGGGGGCCATAAATTTGGGGCTGTAAATCACTGGGATATCTTAAGTTCAATTGTCCTACACTATTTGGTAGTTCATCTGAAAACCAGAAGCATGCTATCTTAATAGGGCACATCCCAACAAGAGGGAACATACATTTCCCTGGGGACAAAGAGCAGTGGACAAGGTGTGCTGCTTCTTGTCCCCGGTGAACCCCCATGCAGGCAGTGCTCTCGCGCACAGGACATTACCTGGGCTGGGCTAGGGGAGGCTGGGACGAGCACCTGGGCTTGCCCCAGCATACTTACCTGGGGTCCTGGGAGCCTCCAGGGGGGCTGCAGCTGCAGTGATCCTGCAGCAAGGAGCCTGGCCGGCAGCCGGAGCATGGCTTTGGCTAGCCAGTCTCTAGTTTCAGGCAGCACATGCACCACCCCGCTTATTTATTTTTTTAGGTGCAGGGTTTTTTTTTGACACCAGGATCTCCTGCCATCAACCCACCACCCTCCTCCGCCCTGCCAGGCTGCAAATTAGCAGCGTGGGGATCGCCTGTGCAGTGCATGCGGGGTGGGGGTGGAGCACTGCAGACCTGTCTGTGGTGCTGCATACTGCATGTGCGTGCTCATCTGGATGCACCCATAGTGTTTTAAAAAAGGCAATCATAGATTAAAAAAATGTTCCCATAGTTAAGCAGGCACAAAAAGAGATATCTATTTGGAAATCATAGTAAGCTCATGTGCTTACTTTTTGTCTCCACTTAGTCCTTACAAGTTTCTTCTGTAAACTGCTATTCCCATTTTGTGCCTTTTTAGGCATACGCCATACATGGAACTGCTTATTGGAGCCTTGAACTGCAATGGTTTAAATAAAATAGGACCCAGTTCTGAACAACTTCTGGGTTAGATTTTGTTTCTAAAACCTGAAGTCTAACTAGGGGAGGGTTATTTCACAAAAGCTATCTTGGCTCTTCCCCACATCTAGTCTCTGTACATCTTAGAAAAAAAGAGAAAGATGTTTGCCTCTGAGGTGGGCCACCAATAAATTAAGAGGGAAATAACAGCATGTATCTACATGCTTAAAAGCAGTTCCACTCATCCACATTTTATTGGGGATATAACGAACACTTTCAATCGTTCATCAGTTAAGGCAGGCAGAGAGTTCGGACGTTAGAAAAAAGGAAAAGAACAAAAAGGATGCAAATGCCCACCATGAAACAACAATTACCCTTTCTACATTTGATCTAATATGAATTCATTTAAATTCACAAACGCATACATAATAAAAAACAGCTTGTTGGACAGCTGAAGTCACATTTACACACTGCATTTAGGCTCACACAGCACACTCAAACTACTGCATAAAATATCCCACCAATTCTGCTGATCTCTGTGCAAACACTCCTTACCAAATGATTTCCAATGTCATGTCTAAATACACCTGCATTGCTTTCCCTGTATACTGAACTGAGTGCTCTGTTCTTAGCTGCTGGCATTAGAAACAGCCCTGTACTGCACACAACTTGACGATCCTAAACCCCTGGAAATGGTTAATAATTTCAGACACGTTCAAGAGTTTGAAGAAAGACTAGTTTATATCTCCTTCCATGAAGGTAAGTAAAATAAACAGTTGTGTAAGAAATGGTAAACAGTTATGTGTGCGGACTTGGAACACTGAATGAAGTGCCCATATTATTGCACTGGTTTCTTTAAGCACATAGATATTAATAGGGGAGATGACACACAGAAGCATTAGCTTCTTGTCTTCCTTTTTCTTCTTTCACAATTGCTTACATAAGCAGTTGTATGAGACTAAGCCATACAGAAAATGTTACCGCTTATCAGTTAACATTAGGTAAGCAGAAACTGCACAACCATTGTACTTTGATCAGACTGAATAAGATGGGGTGTAGGAAAGAGCCTATGGGGGAGGGAAAGAGGGAGGGCTCAGTCCTTCTTCTCATGTCCAGTGGGAAACAAAGAAAACAACCAAGAATGTCTGATGCTGCTCATACTCAATTTTCCTCTCTAACTTCAAAGCCTTCAGGTTCAATTCACTATATTAACTGGCAATTTAATAATGTAAGTTCTCATAAATTCTTTGCACTCCAGCATCTCTCACTTGATTACTCCTTAAGCTTGTAGTAGTTACCCTACTAGCATACAACATATCAACACTGTTGCAAGGCACCTGTGCAATGCACATTGTTTGAGAACTTTGGTGCAGGGCTGGACGCTAAATAAATCATAAGTCAATAACAAGCAACTTAATAGTTTTAAGTTTTGGAAATTACAGAGATAATTTTTTATTCTGTTTGGGGGTCCGACCCTACAAACATGAGGAACAATAAAGTCATCCCTGTGAGTCTTCTGCAATGAGCACTAAACCATACAATGGAAAGATTTCCATTGACTTCTAAAGGGTTTAAATCAGGTTAGGTGTTTACATTATAAAGCTAGCAAGGTTTTATTTTGTAATAGTGAAGATACAACCTTGCTATACGAATGAGATTCCAACCATGAGAACATCAACCATGGTTGATAAGGGATAATTATTGTGCTGACCAAATGGTTAAAAGGATTCACAACTTTGCATTGCAGGGAGACTGTTTATGGGGAATTACAGAGGATCAGAAGAGGTCCTTGAGGCACTTGAACTTGACACCAAGAAGTAAAAATAGCTCATAACATTGGACTCTGCGATTCACTGTTATGAGCATAAAAATTAGCCATCTTTTTAGGGTGAAGTCTTAAGACACCAAAGTTGATTTAAAAGTTTTTTGTGTCACTATGTAGCTCTACAATGCCATGAGAGGCTTTGCACAAATGCCTATGCCTTTGGAGATGAGCCTTGCAGTAATGTACTTCTGTAGCTGTTTGGAGGGTACTGATCAGTGCATTGCTTTGCCATCAGTCAACACCTCCCCAACTCCAGCAGACGATCACTGAGTTGAAGAAAACCCTACAGTCCTGGCATGTAGTTTAGGAAACACACAAGCAAAATGTTTACAGGTCTGCAAAATAATTACAGAAAATTAAAAAGAAATTAAAAATGAATCCAGCAAATAGTCAACCTGCAAATTAATAAGAGCAGTACAGTATACAAAATCTTCCAACAATACTGTCTACTTGTTCGTCTACTCCTTATTTAAAATGAACAGAAAGCACTTAGGGGTTGTCTACATGGGAAAATTCACCCCAAGAGCTACTGCAGAAAACAGCTTCCCGTGTAAACATACCACATTAAAGTAAAAATTCTGGATTAATATTGTAAAATAACTAACTGTATGACATGGGCAGATAAGTTACTTTTGTCAATTTCTGTGTGTAAACAAGTGCTTAAATATACAATTTTGAAGCAGAAGCATGTAAAATAGAAACAAATCCCATCTTATAAACAGACCTCAAATTTGGGGATAATTTCACTTCAGATCTAATCCTAGATGGTTCCTTCCTCAGACTGACCACATCAAAACTCTGGATCAAAACAGATCCAGCAGGAAGCTGGAAGCGGGAAGCTAAGCCCCAAATTTTGGAATATAAAAAGTCCAAATGAGGCTGCCATGTTAAGGTTGTGGCTTTCAGTCATTTATATACAAATTTAGATACAAAGTCTTGATAAAGAACACGTAGATTATCCCTTTAATATACATTATATAGGAGTATAAAATAATGCCACCAGAAATTTTAAGTGTGTAAGCGTCTTGCTCTGAACTACTGTATCTAACCAGGACAGTAATATTTTAAATAGATATACCATTTTCCTTGCTACTTCAGCTCTTCTTTTTTGGACTGATTTTAACAATTATTTAACTAGTAATTTCTTTACATTTTTGTTAGAGAAAAATAGCTACAATCTAGAGGCTGAATGTATTGTAATTAAAAAAGAGATACTGTATTTTCATAGCTTAATAACATTCTCCAGTGATATATTAAATTCCTATACCTTGCTATTTCCAAAGTGTCAATGTCAAAGGCTACTTTTTCCTCTTAGACAGCTGCTCTCCTGACTTCTATCTGATGAACTGCTTTTACTATAAAGTACAAAATAGTTGCCCCTCAGGAAAAGCCAACAGAATGGGTGCATATAAAAAGGTCAGACGGAAGTTAGAAGTGCCCAAGAGAATTCAGGGAACTTTTAAAAGTGGCTTTAAAGCAGATCAAAGTTTTAATCTACCTCAGGTTCCCCCAGACTTCATTTCTGTGCATTGTGCAAAAAGCAGATACCAATTAAAACAACTATTTTCACTTGCAGTGCTTAAGGAGGGAAAGTAGTTTAAAAAGAGATGTTTTACCCCCCTACATCTTCATATGGAATTTTATTAACAAATTATAATCGTAAGGGGAGATGCTACTGTATGCTCAATGAAAGAAAGCATCAATTATACTTTGTGTTTACATGGTACCTTTTAGCACCAGTACACAAAGCATTTCAGTGCCCTAGTTGCTATCACTAGGCACAGGAAGATTAAATGACTTTCCCAAAAAGGATTTCAATTACTGGAGCAAAACCAAGGAGTTCCGACTCATAGCCCTGCTTGAACCCCACTACACCACACCTTCCCTTTCAATAAAATGAAGTGTCCCATGCAAACATCTCAAGTTTTGCAGGAGTCTTGAGGCTAAAACAACTGGTGTCTGCTTTTTTCCCTGTTTTCAAGGATAAAATGTTCCAAGCCTTAAATTCCAGTCTTTGGAAATACAAACCCTTCCCTGCTATACACACAAAGAAATTTAAATTAAGATCAGTTCTGATATACTTGACTGCAAAGAATTAATCTGACGTCACTCAATGAAAAATTAATAGCTTCAGAAATGGCATTCACCATACGTTCTTGAACACTTAAAATTCTACCCAGAAAAGCGAAGTCTACTGAATAGCCCTGGAATTCTAATGAAATCCATTGAATGAGTTCCCATAAAACATACTCTTCCACAAGAAAGATAGAATTTTAAGATTTTGGAAAACTAGGAATATATTTAGCATACCTGAAATATTTAAATCTTTATTAAAATATCTTCATTTCATGGTGCAGAAAATACTTTGATTTATATCACAAAAGTGACATAAATCCTAAATGGTGTGACCATCCTAAAACCAAGGGAGATTCTTAATCATGTCAATAAAGCTATGCTAATTTGTTGCAGCTGAGAATCTGGTCCTAAATATTACTAGTACCTAGAATTCATAAAACACTAAGATGGCTAATTTTTCATTATGGTGATGTTCACAGTCCTCTCTCTAGACAAGAACATTGGGGTGCTTGGCTGTTTTAAGATGATGAGGCTGAGGGTGTCTTTCTTTTCTATACTTTGTAGTTTTGCAGTTGGTCAAATGTAAATAAACTAAAGGTCTAAACTGTAATTGTGTATCATACTTTGTTCATTAAAAAAGGAGTTTGTTGAGTTAAAAGGTGAGGATATATTTTCTAAAGCCAGAGCTAAATCAAGAATCAGATTTAAAGCACACCAAGAGATGGCTTCAGCTCAAGACTATTCTTACTGCAAATCAAACAGCTAAAGAATATTCACTCCCACATTTCCAGCTGGAAACTTCTGATGTATTTACTGAGTTTACATCAAAAACTCCTGACAGACATTAACTGTCAAAAAGGATCTAAGGAATTTTATCCCAGACCCCAACAAATCATGCATCCTGTCATGTCAGTTGTTCAAGGTCTAGCATAACAGGACATACAATTATTAGGATCTAGGAGAAAATTCTTCAGTTCACACTGTGTTTACCAGGGCATGTAGCTGGTTGCATGAGTGCCAGAGTACAGGCAGCTGTGGATTACGGAGGTCTCCAGTCCCGAACCTGCATGCAGCTGATTGCCTGCGCACTGGGGTGCAGGCAAAAGGAAGCTCTTTGATCCACAGCAACTTGTACTAGGGACCTGTCAGCCTGCATTGGGCTGCATGTCATGGCTTTAAATCTCTCTACCATGGGCATTCTACTCTGAAAAAGGCAGACAGCCGCATTCATTTACAGGAAACTGTAATGATAACATCACATGAAATTAACAAGGAAATGTTGAGCAAGTACAAAATCTGAAACTCCCCTTTATGCCATTTTTAATGTACCGCATACTCCCCAACAGATTCTACTTTGAAGTTGCAATCTCCCTGTCAAGTACAGACACTTTTTTAACCCACTTTCTGCATGCAAGAAAAATGCAGAAATCCAATTTTTATCCTCTTTTTCTTATCTTTTTTCAAACTACCAGTTTCATAGTTTCATAGTCTGTTTGTAGGGTTGGAAGGGACCTGAGCAGATCATCAAGTCCAACCCCCTGCCATGGCAGGAAAGAGTACTGGGGTCAAATGACCCCAACAAGGTGTTCATCAAGCCTCCTCTTAAAGACACCCAGGGTAGGAGCCAGCACCACTTCTCTTGGAAGTTGGTTCCAGATCCTAGCCACCCTGACCGTGAAGTAGCGCCTCCTGAAATCTAGCCTAAATCTACCCTCTGCCAGCTTGTGACTGTTATTTCTTGTCACTCCTGGTAGTGCTCAGGGGAACAGGGACTCCCCCAATGCCTGCTGGTCCCCTCTGACTAGTTTGTAAACGGCTACTAGAGCCCCCCTCAGCCTTCTCTTGTGGAGGCTGAACA